AAAGCAATTTTATATGCATTGCCTTGTTTACGCCTGGTCACCCAACTCTTAATTCTGTAAGATAACAAAAGATTATTAACCTACTTTTTTATAGATGAGAGAGTTGATGCTCAAAGAAGTTTAGTGTCTTTCCCCGGGTCTCCCAGGACCTGGACCAGAACCCAGGTCTCTGGCAGCTAGTTCAGCATTGTTTCCCACACCATGCTACCCAAGCTTCTTTTCATTGTCTTCTCAAGAATAAAAAGACAATACAATATGTTTCAAGACCCAAGGCCCATTAGAGACAATTCTATGAGGAAGTAAGATTATGATGTTAATCCAGCTAACATTTACTGAGTGCTTACTGTGTGCTAGACACAGTTCTGAGTACATTACATTTAGTGCTCCAAACAACCCTATGAAATAGTAGAAGAAAATTAGTTACCATCTTTTCCGGATCCTTGTTTTGTTTTTTGTTTTGTTTTTGTTTTTTGGTTCTGGCACCTCTGTTCCTATTGACTGAGGCTCAGTTGCTTTTCCATGAAAATGGGCGGGAGGCTCTGAGGCACAGTGCATATAGATAGCACTGTGGATGGATGGGTGGATCAAAGCAAATACAGCTTTTTCTAAGTTGGATTGTGTTGTTGTTCTTGTTGCTTTTACTAAAAATCATTACTGGACAGAAAAGTCAGTGAAATCGTTGCTGTTTTCTCTTGATCTCTATAGCCCCCAAAAGCTCTTTGCAGGATGTCCCAAAACCTCAGTTAATGCAGAAGGAAGAGCTTATCACTGTGCAACCCACAGACCTTTCTGCCAGGGAGTTTGTGGTTTACCAGTATGGCCTCTCCGTCCTGAACCTCCTCATCCCCGAGATGCATGTAAGTCTGGGTGCTGGCCTCTCTGTGGAGCAGTACTCTTGCAGCCAAGAAGGTCAAAGTGACCAGGAAGGAGGCTTTCGGGTGGTGGATATATGTTAGGATTAAGCAGCTGGAATAGGGAATTTGCTAGTCTCTCCTATAAAGGGACTGATAGAAGTCATTTTACCAATCTACAGTCTAATCTCTCAAATGATAATAAGTAGAGTCAATGAAGTACTTTGTACATGCCAGAAAATCTTCTAATAACTTGCATGAATTAATTCATTTAATGTTCACAAAAACCCTTTGACATAGATACTATTATTTTTTTCAAGTATAATCAACACAGTGTGATATTAGTTTCAGGGGTACAACATGATTCAACAAGTCTGTACAGTACTCAGTGCTCATCATGGTAAGTGTGCTGTCGATCCCCTTCACCTCTCTCCCACTCTCCCCTCCCCTCTGACAATCGTGAGTTTGTTCTTTGGGTTTTTTGTTTGTTTGTTTGTCTCTTTTCTTTGTTCATTTGTTTTGTTTCTTAAATTCCACATATGAGTGAAATCATGGTATTTGTCTTTCTTTGACTGACATATTTCACTTAGCATAACGCCCTCTAGGCCCTTCAGTGTTGTCACAGATGGAAAGATTTCATTTATTTTTTATGACTGATTAATATTCCATTTATATCTATATATAGATAGATAGATATGTATAGCACGTCTCTTTTATCCAGTCATCTATTGCTTCAATATCTTGGCTATTATAAATAATGCTGCAATAAACGTAGGAGTGCATATATCTTCTCAAATTAGTGTTTTCATTTTCTTTGAGTAAATATCCAGTAGTGGAATTACTGGATATTATGGTAATTCTATTTTTAATTTTTTGAGGAACTTCCATACTGTTTTCCACAATGACTCACCTGTTTGCATTCCCATCAGTGGTGCACGAGGGTTCCTTTTTCTCCACATCCTTGTCAACACTTGTTATTTCTTATGTTTTTTATTTTAGCCATTCTGACAGGTGTAAAGTGATATCTCATTGTGGCTTTCATATGCATTTCCCAATGATGAGTGACTTTGAGCACTTCTCATGTGTCTGTTGGCCATCTGGATGTCTTCTTTGGAGAAATGTCTACTCATGTCCCCTGCCCATTTTCAACCAGATTATTTGGTTTTCTGGTGTTGAGTTGTAATGAGTTCTTTATATATTTTGGATATTAACCCCTTACCAGATATATCATTTGCAAATATCTTCTCCCATTCAGTAGGTTGCTTTTTTGTTTTGTTGATGCATTCCTTCACTGTGCAAAAGCTTTTTACTTTTGTGTAGTCCCAGTAGTTTAATTTTACTTTTGTTTCTCTTGCCCTAGGAGACATATCTAGAAAAGTGTTTCTATGGCCAACATCAAAGAAATTACCGCCTATGTTTTTTTTTCTTCTAGGAATTTTATGGTTTCAGGTTTCACATTTAGATCTTTAGTGCATTTTGAGTTTATTTTTGTGTATGGTGTAAGAACGTGGTCCAGTTTCACTCTTATACTTGTAGTTGTTCCGTTTTCCCAACACCATTTGTGGAAGAGACCATTTTTGTCCCATTGTATATTCTTATCTCCTTTGTCATAGATTAATTGACCGTAAAAACATGGGTTATTTCTGGACTCTCTATTCCGTTCCATTGATCTATGTGTCTCTTTTTGGGCCAAGACCATACTGTTTTGATTACTATAGCTCGTAGTACTATATCTTGAAATCTGGAATTGTGGTACTTCCAGCTTCGTTTTTCTTTCTCAAGATTGCTTTGGCTATTTGAAGTTTCTTGTGGTCCCATAGACATTTTAGGATTATTTGTGGTAGCTCTGTGAAAAATACTATTGGTATTTTGACCAAGATTGCAATAAATCTGTAGATTGCTTTGGATAGTTTGGACACTTTAACAATATTTGTTCTTCCGATCCATGAGCATGGAATATCTTTCCATTTGTTTGTGTCATCTTCAATTTTCTTCATCAGTGTTTTAAAGATTTTATTTATTTATTTGTCAGAGAGAGAGCACAAGCAGGGGTAGTGGTAGACAGAGGGAAAAGCTGGCTTCTCGATGAGCAAGGAACCTGATGCAGGACTTGATCCTAGGACCCTGGGAGCATGACCTGAGCCAAAGGCAGACGCTTAACCACTGAGCCACCCAGGCTTCCCTTCCTTCATCAGTGTTTTATAGTTTGCAGAGTACAGGTCTTTCACCTCCTTGGTTAAGTCTATTCCTAGGTATTTTACTATTTTTGGTGCAATTGTAAATGGGACTGTTTCCTTAATTTCTCTTTCTGCTACTTCATTATTAGTTATAGAAATGCAACACTAAATATTAACTTTGTATCCTGTGACTTTACTGAATTCATATATCAGTTCTAGTAGTTTTTTGGTGGAGTCTTTAGGGTTTTCCATATATAGTATCATGTCACATACAAATAGTGAAAGTTTTACTTCTTCCTTACCAATTGGGATGCCTTTTACTTTTTTTTCTTGTCTGAGCGCTGTGGCTAGGATTTCCAGTGTTATGTTTAATAAAAGTGGTGAGAGTGGACATCCTTGTCTAATTCCTGATCTTACAGGAAAAGCTCCCAGTTTTAACACCATACGATGATGTTAGCTGTGGGTTTTTCACATGTGGCCTTTATTATATTCCCTCTTAACTACTTTGTTGAGGATTTTTATCATGAATGAATGTTGTATTTTGCCAAATGCTTTTTCTGCATCTATTGAGATGATCATATGGTTTTCATCCTTTCTCTTGTTAATGTGATGTATCCTGTTGATTGATTTGTGAATATTGAATCACACTTGCACCCCTGGAATAAATCCCACTTGATCGTGGTGAGTGATTTTTTTAAAGTACTGTTGGATTCAATTTGTTAATATTTTGTTGAGGATTTTTGCAACTATGTTCATCAGAGATATTGGCATATAGTTTTGGGGGGGAGCTGTAGTGTCTTTATCTGGTATAGGTATCAGGATGATGCTGGCCTCATAGAGTGAGTTTGGAAGCTTTCCTTCCTCTTCTGTCTATTGGAATAGCTTGAGAATAGGTATTAATTCTTCTTTAAATGTTCAGTAGAATTCACCTGGGAAGCTGTCTGGTCCTGGACTTTTGTTTGTTGGGAGGTTTTGTTTTGTTTTGTTTTAATTACTGATTCGATCTTATTGCTAGTAATTAGTCTGTCAAAATTTTCTGTTTCTTCCTGATGCAGTTTTGGAAGGTCATATGTTATTAGGAATTTACCCATTTCTTCTAGGTTGTCCAATTTGTGGGCATATAATTTTTCATAATATTTTCTTATAATCCTTTGTGTTTCTGTGGTGTTGGTTGTTATATCTCCAGGATCATTCATTTCTGATTTTATTTATTTGAGTCCTCTCCCTCTCTGTCTTTATGAATCTGGCTAAAGGTTTATCAGTTTTGAATTTTGTTAATCTTTTCAAAGAACCAGCTCCCAGTTTCATTGGTCTGTCCTGATTGTTTTTTTAGTCCCTATTTTATTTACTTTTACTCTCGGATTTATTATTTCCTTACTTCTACTGGCTTTTGGGCTTTGTTTGTTTTTCTTTTTCAAGCTCCTTTTGTTGTAAGGTTGGGTTGTTTATTTGAGATTCTTCTTGCTTCCTGAGTTAGGCCTATATTGCTATAATCCTCCATCTTACAACAGCTATTGCTGCGTCCCAAAGATTTGGGACCATTGTGTTTTCATTTTCATTTGTCTCCATATATTTTTTTATTTCATCTTTGATGTGTTGGTTGACCCATTTATTGTTTAGCAGCATGTTATTTAACCTCCACGTATTTGTGTTCTTTCTGGATTTTTTCTTGTAATTGATTTCTAGTTTCATTCCACTGTGGTTAGAAAATATTCATGATATGATTTCAGTCTTTTTTAATTTGTTGAGACTTGTTTTGTGTCCTAACATGTGAGCTATTCTGGAGAATGTTCCATGTGCTCTTGAAAAGAATATGTATTCTGTTTTTGGATGAAATGTTCTGAATGTATGCGTTCGATCTATCTGGTCCAATGTGTCATTCAAAGCCACTGTTTCCTTGTTGATTTTCTGTCTAGATGATCTACCCATTGATGTAAATGGGGTGGTAAAGTCCCTACTATTATTGTATTATGATTGGTTTCTTCCTTTATGTCTCTTAATAGTTGCTTTATATATTCGAATGCTCCCATGTTGAGTGCATAAATATTTACAATTTATTACAATCAGCTCTTATTTCTTATATCTCCTTGTTGAATTGTTCCCTTTATCATTAGGTAGAATTCTTTTTTGTCCCTTGTTACAGTTTTTGTTTTAAAGTCTGTTTTGTCCATTATTGATACTGCAGCTTTCTTTTAACTTCCATTTGCATGATAAATGTTTTTCCATACCTTCACTTTCAATCTGTGTCTTTAGGTTAAAATGAGTCTCTTGTAGGCAGCGTATAGATGGGTCTTGCTTTTTTATCCATTCAGTCACCCCACATCTTGATTGGTGTAGTTAGTCCATTTACATTCAAAGTAATTATTGAGGGTATACGAGCAGCTGCATTCCCCAGCCAGAACCTCCAAATGAAGTAATTATTGATAAATATGTACTTTTGCCATTTTGTTATGTGTTTTTACGATTGTTTTGTAGTTCTCCATTCCTTTCTTCGTTTACTCTCTTGCCTTAGTGATATGCTTGGATTCCTTTTCTCTTCATTTTTTGCCTATTACAGGTTTTTGGTTTGTGGTTACCATTAGGTTGATAGATAACTTCCTATGTATATAGCAGTCTATATTAAGTTGATGTTCACTTAAGTTTGAAGCCATCTAAAAGCACTAAAATTTGGGCATCTGGGTGGCTCAGTCAGTTAAGCGTTTGCCTTCAGCTCAGGTCATTATCCCATGGTCCTGGGATCCAGCTGCATTGAGCTCCCCGCTCACTGGGGAGTCTTCTTCTCCCCCCTCCCTCTGCCTGCTGCTCTGCCTACTTGTGCTCTCTCTTTCTCTCTCTGTCAAATAAATAAATAAAATCCTTAAAAAAAAATAAAAATAAAAGCACTAAAATTTTAATCCCCTCCCCAACATTTTATTTATATGATGCCATACTTTACATCCTTTTATTTTGGGAATTCCTTGACTGGTTTTTATAGATATAATTGATTTTACTGCTTTTGTGATTTAACTTCTGTACCTGTTTTTTTTTTAATTTTTTATTGTTATGTTAATCACCATATATTACATCATTTGTTTTGGTGTAGTGTTCCATGATTCATTGTTTGTTCATAACACCCAGTGCTCCATGCAGAATGTGCCCTCTTTAATACCCATAACCAGGCTAACCCATCCCCCTACCCTCCTCCCCTCTAGAACCCTCAGTTTGTTTTTCAGAGTCCATCATCTCTCCTGGTTCGTCTCCCCCTCTGACTTACTCCCCTTCATTCTTCCTCTCCTGCTATCTTCTTCTTTTTCTTTTTTCTTAAAATATGTTGCGTTATTTGTTTCAGAAGTACAGATCTGTGATTCAACAGTCTTACACAATTCACAGTGTTCACTGTAGCACATACCCTCCCCAATGTCTATCACCCAGCCTGTTTTATAAATGATTAATCTGCTTTTATTATGTTTCTATTTACTTATGAATTTTTTTTCCTTTCCTAATTTTATTACACCTGATTACAGCCTTTTCTTTCCACTTGAAGAATTACCTTCAATGTTTCCCATAAGGCTGGTTTAGTGGTGATGAACTCCTTTTACTTTTATTTTTCTGGGAAACTCTTTATCTGTCCTAATCTGAATTATAGCCTTGCTGGATAGAGTATTCTTGGTTGCAGTTTTTTTTCCCTTTCAGCATTTTGAATACATCATGCCACTGTCTTCTGGCCTGCAAAGTTCTGCTGAAAAATCAGCTGATAGCCTTATGAGGTTTCCCTTGTATGTAACTATTTTCTTTTCTCTTGATGCTTTTAAAATTCTCTTTATCACTACTTCCTACTACTTTAATTATTATATGTCTTGGTGTGGACCTCCTTGGATTGATTTTGGTGGGTGCTCTCTGTGCCTCCTGGATCTGCATGTCTGTTTCCTTCCCCAGATTGGGGAAGTTATTTCTTCTAATAAGTTTTCTGCCACTGATCTCTCTTTTCCTTCTGGGATCTGTGTAATGGGAATGTTACTGCACTTGATAGTGTTGGGATCCTGCCCTCCTTTCTCAAGACCAGTAAGTATCTTTATGACCATTACTTTGAATTCTCTATCAGGCATATTGCTTACCTTCATTTCATTGAGCTCTTTGCTCTGATTTTGTCCTGTTCTTTATTTGGGACATATTCCTCTATCTCCTCATTTTGTCTAACTCTGTGTTTGTTTCTATGTACTAGCGAAGTCAGCTAAGTCTCCTGCTCTTGAAAGTAGTGGCCACCAATTAATGCAATTCCTATCAAAATACCACCAGCATTTTTCACAGAGCTAGAACAATCAATCCTAAAATTTGTACGGGACAACAAAAGACCCCAAATAGCTAAAGAAATCTTGAAAAAGAAAAGGAAAGCTGGAGGCATCACAATTCCAGACTTCAAGTTATATTTCAAAGCTGTAGTGATCAAGACAGGACAGTACTGGCACAAAAACAGATGCATAGATCAATGGAACAGAAGAGAAAACCAAGAAATTAATCCACAACTATATGGTCAATTAACCTTTGACAAAGCAGGAAAGAGTATCCAGTGGAAAAAGGACAGTCTCTTCAACAAATGGTTTTGGGAAAACTGGACAACAACATGCAAAAGAATAAAATTGGACCACTTTCTTATGCCATTCACACATATAAATTCAAAACAGATGAAAGACCTAAATGTGAGGCAGCAAAGCATCAAAATCTTAGAGGAGAACACAAGTAGTAACCTCTCTGACATCAGCCATAGCAACTTCTTACTAGATATGTCTCCTGAGGCAAGGGAAACAAAAGCAAAAATAAACTACTGGGACTTCATCAAAATAAAAAGCTTCTGCACAGTGAAGGAAACAATCAACAAAACTAAAAGGCAACCTATGGAATGGGAGAAGATATTTGCAAATGACATATCTGATAAAGGGTTAGTATCTAAAATATATACAGAACTTATAAAACTCCACCCCCCAAAAACAAATAATGCAGTTAAAAGTCAGCAGAAGACATGAATAGTCATTTCTCCAAAGATGAAATCCAGATGGCCAACAGACATGAAAAGATGTTCAACATCACTCATCATCAGGGAAATGCAAATCAAAAACCACAATGAGATATCATCTCACACCTGACAGAATGGCTAAAATTAACACAGGAAACAACAGGTGTTGGTGAGGATGTGGAGAAAGGGGAACCCTGGTGCAGTGTTGGTGGGAATGCAAACTGGTGCAGCCACTTGAGAAAACAGTATGGAGACTCCTCAAAAAGTTGAAAATAGACCTACCCTAGGATCCAGCAATTGCACTACTAGGTATTTACAAAAATACTAATTTGAAGAGATACATGCACACCAATGTTTAGAGCAGCACTATCAATAATAGCCAAATTATGTAAAGAGCCCAAATGTCCATCAACTGATGAATCAATAAAGAAGATGTGGTGTGTGTGTGGTGTGTGTATATATATGTGTGTGTGTGTGTGTGTGTATACACCATACACACACACACACACACACACACACACACGATGGAATATTACTCAGCCATAAAAAAGAATGAGATCTTGCCATTTGCAATGACATGGATGGAGCTAAAGAGTATTATGCTAAGCAAAATAAGTCAGAGAAAGACAAACACTGTATGATTTCACTCACATGTGGAATTTAAGAACCAAAACAAATGAACATGGGGGGAAAAAAGAGGCAAACCAAGAAACAGTCTTAAATATGGGGAACAAACTGATGGTTACTGGAGGGGAGGTGGGCAGGGAGATGGGCGAAATAGGTGATGGGCACTGAGGAGGGCACTTGTGATGAGCACCGGGTGTTGTATGTAAATGATGAATCACTAAATTCTACACCTGAAACTAATATTACACTGTACATTAACTAACTGGAATTTAAATAAACACTTGGGGAAAAAAAGAAAAAAAAGAAATTATATCTTAAGAAGATATTACTGGAAAAAAAAGAAAAAGAAAGTAGCAGCCATATGAAGAAGAGGCCCAGTAGTGCCCTACAGTACAGTGTCCCCTGTTCACCAGACCAGATGTGCCAGGGGTGTGTCTCCTATGTATGTTTTGTGTACCCTACTGTTATCCTGAGACGCATCGACTTCAGTCCAGTCAGCTGTAATGGCCTACATTGCCTGTTGTGGGCAGGGTTTGGTCCCTATGCTGTTAAGGGGCCAGTCTGGGGCTACCCTGGGCTTGTGGTTGCGTCAGACCAGATGCGCGCCCTCAGCTCATTCACTAGCACTGCAGTCACATTGAACTACAGGTTACTTTCCTTGTGTTGTCCCCTGAGAGGCTTTCGTTTGTTGGTGGGGCCTATAGTCAGACAAGATGTCTGCCCCCAGTCCTTCTGTTGGGGTTGCAGGGACCCTGAACTACAAGACTCTCTGCTTATACTGCCCCTTATGAGGTTTTTGTTGGTAGGCAGGATCAGCAGTCATACCAGATGTCTGCTCCCCGCCCATTGCTGGGGCTGCAGTCAAACTGATACGTGTGGTTGTGTGGTTATCTCCTCCTCTTGCTGGGGGTTTGGTTCTCAGACACGTCTCCAGCTCTCCTACCCTTTTCAATGTGGTCTCCTCTCTGTGATTAACTGCGAAGACTCTGTTCTACCAGTCTTTGGGTCATTTTCTGGGTTAGTTACACTGATGTGGCTTTGATCTGAGTGTATCAATGGGACGAGATGAGCTTAGGATCCTCCTCCTCTGCCACCTTCCCAGGCCCCTATATCTATTTTTTTTTTCTCATTTTAAAAGTGAGGTGGGAAAATACAAAGTGATTGAGTTAACTTACCCAAGATTCCACAACCGAAAGGGTAGAATGGGGTGAGGACCCAGCCGTCATGCTCGAGCGCCCCCATGCCTGACTGCCACACTCTATTTAAAAAAGTAATAAATTAATTCTTATAGTTAGCATAAATATTAAACACATAAATACTCTTTGCACTTTCCTGTAGTGTGTGCTGAATCTTCTTATCCTGTTCCAATGCATTTACTTCCCATTAATTTGGTTGGTGCTGTGTAGCTGAGCCACATGAGAATTGTTTAGCAAGAAGATGGGTCTTGGTTTGGGTTTTATTTGTTTCCTATTCTTTTCAGGCTCCTGAAATCACCCTGCAGATTGCTTCTCATCTTCCTGCAATGGATGCCTCAGACAATGCCTTCCAAGGCTCCTTCTTCTATCAGGTGCTACAAATTCAGTTCCAGATGAGGGTTTGTAAAAGTCTAGGGTCTAAAAAGGAGCAAAAAGACCAAATGTTATAAAACATTTTTCTCTCTCAAGTCCTGAGAAGTCTTTATTCCCCCTTGGTAATAAGTCATTCAGTAAGGCATAATAAATGTCACCATGTAAAAGCTTTCTCCAATTAGTGAAATGAGTATGCCCCAGCCCAGAGAACCATAATGGCTTTGTGCCCCTTACTGAATCTCTGTCATCAAAGTCGATGGTTCCAGACTGGTATTTCCCATAAGAGTCGTGGTTCCAGCTTCAGCAGGTCCTGCACAACCAGCATCTTTCTGCAGAAAAGGGATTGAAATTATTCCTGCCCCTGCAGTTCCTCAAATACGCAGGATTGGCAGTGCCTTGGTGGCAGCCCAAAGCCGGCGTACACAGACCCGAAACACTGAGAACAGTTCGTTGGTAAACAGTGATTTGAGAGGGGCACTGCTAACCAATGCTAGAGGACTAGGAAGCCTTGACACTTGACTAGTTGGTTTTTAGGGGATGTCATAAGACCAAAAATTACGCTTTCGTTGCACCCTCCAAGCATCCTTTCACTTGATCCTCAAAGAAATCTATGAAGTAGGCAAGAATTTAATCCCATTTTACTGACAGGGAAGCCAACTCAGGATTCATTGGGTACTGTGCGTCAGGCACTTGGCCATGCGCCTTACATGCGCTATATCTTTTACAGTTTATAACAACCCAACCCTAGGGGGTGGGTGCTCTTGCTATCTCCATTTTATGAAGTAGGAGATTGAGGCCCATTGAGGCCAAGTGACTTTCCTAAGATCACAGGGTTAGCAGGAGTTTAAACTCAAGTTCTAAATTCAACCTCCTTTTTAACCACTGTGCTGTGTCGCTACCCAGAGCTCATTCCAGGGACAGATCTCAGACTATCTGGCTCGAAATTACCTAATGCTTTTCCATGCCAACCTATTGCCTGAACAATAGAGTTATTTCAAATCAATTAGACAAGACAGAATATTTAAGAACCTGATTACAATAAAGATATGAAAGACAAAGTCAGAGAGCCCTATAAGGCACCGATTCTCAGACTGGGGTCCTTGGACCTCATGGGTCAACCACCTGGGAAGCTTGGTAAACATGGAAATGCCAAGGACTCCCCTAAAGCAGCCCACAGAACCAGACATTCTGGGATGGGCCCCAAGAATAGAATCACTCCCTTGTGATTTTTATCTGCAGATACAATTTGAGAACCACTGGGTTAAGGAAACCTGCTTAAGGAAACGGTGATTGGAGGACATCAATAAAAAAACAGAGATGCATGAGTAACTTCGCTCTGAATTTCTAGTAGTTTATTTTCTGTACCACGGGGGAGCAAAAACTGGAGGAACAGTGGGGAACATGATTTATTCAGGGAGTTGAACTAAAGCAATACTTTTTCCCTCTACATCTGAATCTTTCCTTCAGTAAATTTCCATTAACCCCAGGGAGTCTCTGATATTATGATTCCAAAAGTTATTTTAAACCACATAAAACTAGGAAGAGAAAAAGGTAGTAGAAACATTCCCTGAGGTTGACATCTCTGTGTTTGGGTATCTCCTCTACTCAGAGCACTGAAAACGCACTGTTTGTTGGGAGAGATTCTTTGGCGTCTGCGGGAAGTTTCATTCTGCTGCTGATCCACTGCCTGGCCCACATCGCCGCCGAGGACTTCCGCCAGGATGCAAACCCTGCCTTTCTGAGGTCATTTTACAAGGTATTTATAAAATGCATGGGGCGCTTAGCTTTGCTCCCAGAATAACAAATTCTTTAAGCTGTGCAATATTTCAAAGCCACTTAGGTCCCATTGTTGGTCTCTGGTTCCTACTGCCTGGCCAGGAAGAAGGTTTTCCTGATCAAACTTCCTGTGGCAGCATATAACAAAATGCATGCACCCCTCTGTAGGAATCAGAGAGAAGTGGTCTTCCTATAAGAAAGGCATCCCAGCTTTCTGGGCTTACTCCCTTGTCGATACATAAGCCTCACCAGAATTGGAAATGACAGTCATAACCCATGGTAAGGGCAAGCAAAGATGATCCATACCAAGCCCCATTTTTCTTTCAACTATATATAGTTTTGAAGCTTTAATAGCAGTCACCTAGAATGGAACTGATCTGGCCCCCGCGCCGTTCCCTTGACCAGGGCCTTCGGGCTTATTTCGGGGAAGCATTCTTGACCACACTGCGGATGTCTGTGATCTCCTGGGACAGTAAGCTTGACCAGAGCATAAGCGCAGCTCTGCGGGACGAGCAGCCCATCTCTGAAAGAGAAAGAGATCTTCTCTCTTTACTCCTTGAAAGGAAGTGTGAGTCTTGCTTGGAGCCCGAGTCATCGGAAGAGGTAACTAATTTTAACTGGTGTAGCATATGTCAGTTAAAAGTTGACTTCTTCACAGAGTCAATGCCTCAGTGTCTGACCTGTTCAGATATTTCTGGCCTCCCCAGGTGGCACACTGCCTTGACACTCAGCCTGTTTCTCAAACCACATACGACAGTATATTTTTTAATCCTGTATTCTACAAGGCAGACAGTGGGTACCTGGCTCTTTGAGTTATGGGGATTGCAAATGAGGCTCCATAGTTACTTAACTCATGTCCCACTAACATATCAATTTGCAGAATTCCATCTATAAAACTCACTGTGACTCAGTAATTAAATTTAGATGCCCCGGTGGTAGCCTATTTACCGAACAGCAGTGTGTTGCTTTCTGTGCAAGCCTGACAAGGATATTCTTAATATTGTGTTATTTAAAATGCCTTTATAAGAATACTATCATCCAGCTTTTTAACTATTAAAAACATGTGTGATCTTAAAATTGTCATCCTCCATTAAAGATCAATTCGTTCTTGAGTTACAAACAAGAGCACCTTCTCTCTCATTAGTTATATAAAACTTTATACCTTTCAAAGCACTTTTATGTATTTGTTGTCTCATTTGATCCTACCAGCAACCCTGTAGAATAGGTAGCATGCATATTGTTTTTGGTAGCATACATATTTTTAGTCACATTTTGTATTTAAGGAGAGAATAAGCTATTTGCCCCAAGTCATGAAGCTATTTGTAGTGGCAGATCTGGGATCAGATTCTAGATCTCCTAAGTAAATTTCCATACACACCTCTCTATGGTCAGATCCCCATTAGTTACCAAGTCAGAGATTTATTTGGTGATTGTTGACGGTGATAGTGATGGTGATGGTGGTCATCTAGACCCCAGAATCGGTCACACCCCAGCTCCCACAGACCCCAGAGAGTGCTCAGTTCTCTCTCCTCCTCTGACAGTAGCATCAGACCCATCTGCTCACTTCCTCCTCCTCAGTACAGTCTTTCCTTGGCTCCCAGGACACCAGCATCCTCTGGGTTTCTCCTACCTGTTTGGCTCTTCCTTCTCCGTCTCCTTTGCTGATCCCACCGCTTCTCCCTGGCCTCTTCGTGAGGAGGGCCAGCGGTCAGTCCTGTCCTCTTCTTTTCTCTGGCTATATTCGCTCCCCTTGGGGATCTCATCCCATCTACTGGCGTAAACCCTATCCGTATGTCAAGGACCCTCAAATTTTTATCTCCAGGCCCATCCAACTCTCTAACGGAACCCATGTCCTCAACCGCTTGTAGCCACCTCCACTTGTAGGTCTAAGAAGCATCTCAAACTCAACATGCCCCGACCCCATCTTCTGTCCAAACCTCCTCTACTCGAAATCCTCCCCATCTCAGTTGATGGCAACTGTTTCTTCTGGTTTTTCAAGCCAAAGTCTTCCTGGAAACCTCTCTGTTGCAAACACCCCATAACCAATCCATCAGGAAATCCTATTGCTCTATTTTCAGAATAGAGCCATAGTATGACCACGTCTCATTGCCTACAGGGCTCAAAGCCTGGTGCGGGTGCTCATGCTCCCACCTGCAGTCCTGTAATACTTACTAACCGGTCCCCGATTCCAACCTTGCCTCTCCTCAGTCTGTTCTCAGCACATTGGTCGCAGTGATCCTCGTCAAATGAAAATGGGTCAGTTCAAACTCCTGCTGTGGCTCCTCATCTCACTTAGAGTCAAAGCCAAGGAAGCCAAGTCCCCTCGTCCCCCACCCCCTCACCTGCCACTCTTCCCCTTGGTCACTCGTCTCCAACCATGCTTTCCTTCTTGCTGGTCTTCAGACACACCCGCTGCACTCCCCGCTGCCTGCAACAGCAATGGTTCTCAACCAGCAGCGATTTTATCTCCCACAGGACATGTGGCAATGTCTGTAGACATTTTTGATTATCCTACGCCTTGGAGAGGGCTGCTACTGTTAACTAATGGAGAGAAGCCAGGGATGCCACTAAACAGCCCACAGTGTGCAGGACAGCCCCCACAACAAAATACTATCCACCCCAGAATGTCAGTGGTGCTGAGGTTGAGAAACCCCGGGCTAAGGAGTTAGAGCATGCACAACTCCCTTACCTCCTCCATGTCTTTGTTCAAGTGTCACCTCCTCTCTGAGGCCTGCTCAGGACTAGCCCATCTCATTTGCAACCCTCTTTTCTCCTGTTCATCAGCTTTTCCTTACTGTGCTCAACTTTTCTTTCTCCTGTATGATTTCCTAACGTACTACATAATTTACTCACTTAGGCTTGTTTATTACTTTTCCTCCCTAATAGAACATCAGCTCCATGAGGTCAGAGATGTTTGTCTGCTTTGTTTCCTGAGGTAGCGCCCATGCCAGGCTCATAAGGAGGCTTTCAGTATATTTACCATATTAATGAACAGGTTTGTAAGGACCCTGATGCTCTTATATACTGAAATATTCCAGTCTACCAGAGGTAACTACAAGGCAGGTCAGAGCAAACGTTTATTACTTACTTGCCATGTGCCAGGTCTTCTGCTGGGAGTTTTACATGCATCATCTCATTTAATCTTCCCTATACCCTTACAAGCTAGATGCTACTTTTATTCCTAACTTACAGGTGAAAAAACGCTTAGCAGTGTTAAAAACTTGCCCAAGACAGAGGTAGTTGTGGAGCTGGAAGGCTAGTCCTCTGTCAACCACCATCTACGGAGAGGTCTTGCTTTTATTTTAAAGACAGAATTGTATGTATTCTGCTCAGGTCCAGTCTAAGAAGATCCAGGAGTACTTAAGAGAAATGGGAGCAAAGGTATTAACTCTGTCCTCCACACTCTCCACAGTATATTAAGAGAAACACGGATCTTCTCCTCTTCACCAATATGGAACATTTTCTAAAATCCCTCCTCACCGCAGAACAACAGATCCCAAGAAAAGCAAGAGATCAGCATGGGGACGAAGAGAAGGTGAGATGCCCTTATGATCTACGGCATTAAGACTGTACTTTGCTATACACCTTGAAACATTTTATCATGTGTTTGGAGCCACCTTTGTAATTGAACATGTCAGCAGAACAAAGGATTGGAAATCAATGGTGGTAAGAAAAGCTACATCATCTGTCACTTTATTTAAGAGTTTTCCCAGTACAGGAGATGGTAGATCTTAGATCTCAGAGTTAGGAAGGAAGAGATCACAGTTTATCTCTCTGCCTTCAGGCAGGTAAAGCATTAATTAATCCCAGAGAGTGGGAACTGAGACTCAGACTAGCCCCCGTCCACCCAGCTGGAAGAGGGCAAGAAGTAACTAGAACTGGGTCCCTTGCCTTCTCATTCAGGGTTTCTTTCATTATGATACCTGCTGCTATTGTATAAAAGGTTGTTTGTTTTTTATCATAAGCATTAAAATGTTATATCTTTAGGGGCACCTGGCTGGCTTAGTCAGTAGAGCATATAATTCTTGATCTCGGGGTCCGGGAGTTCAAGCCCCATGTTGGGCATGTAGCCTACTTTAAAAAAAAAAGTTATATCTTTAAAAACCAACACATATTTTGGTTGCAAATGACCAACACTAATATTTTGTAAGGTATATGTATAATTAGCAAAGAGAAAAACCCCAAATACCTTCATTTTTCTCATGCAGAGATGTGACCTTACATGTCAAGATCAAGATCAGCAGCTAGCACCCCGGAGAAATAACTGAACACTGACTTCAGCCCTGGGCCCCAGTCCACTTTATGAAAAGTTACCACCCGTGTCTGGGGTGAAAACTACCTTTAAAACTTTATTAAAATACAACACAGCTTTTAAAAGTGCACATATCATAAATGCACTCCTCACAAATCGTCCAAAGTGAACATTTCCATGTAAACAACATCAAGAAAGACAACATCACCAGCCTCCCAGAAGTCCTCCATGTCCCCTCCATCTGGTCATTGGCCCCCCGAGAATAACCACTATCCTGACTTCATACATCAACTGTTTTTGTTTATTCATGAACTTCACATAAACAGAATCATAAATTATGAATTACTTTATCATTCCTTTTGTTCAGCATCATGTTTGTGAGGTGTATCCATATTGTTGCATGTTGTTGTAGTTTGCTGATTGTCTTTGCTATAAAACATTCCATTGTGGGGATATATCAACGTTTATTCTTTCCACTACTAATATTAGTGCCTGTGGGTATTTTCCAGTTTGGGGTTATTACAAATAGTCTTGTGCACTTTTAGTGACTATATGTAACTGTACCAAATAGATATTACTTAGAACTGGAAATTCTGGGTCTCAAGGGGTGATAGTTCTCTCCTTAGCAGATACTATCAACAGGACTTCCAAAGTGATTGTATGAATATCGACTGCCACCAGAAGGGAGTAAGGGTTCTGGTCACTCTCCATTTTTATCAACACTTAGAATGTTCCATCTTTTTTATTTTATGCATTCTTCTGGGTACATGGTTTTAACTTGCACTTTCCTGATGGCCTCTGAAACTGGGCACCGTCCATGTGTTTATACACCATTTGAGTGTCTTCTCTTGAGAAGTGCCAGTCGAGTATTTGCCGATTTTTCATTGGATTCCCAATTTAATTGATTTGTAGGAATTCTTTATTCTGCAAGTATTTTTCCTCATTCTGCAGATTGTCTTTTTATGAAAATAACTACATATAATGTTTCTTTTTCTGCTTCATTTTTTGATCTAGAAAGAAAATGGTGATCTTATTTCAGTCTGCAATTTAAAAGATGTTAAATATGGAACTATGATATCTAATAAGGTTAATAAGAGAATTTTTTAAATACCTGTAACATTGATGTGTCAATCACATAAATGTATACCTTCACCTTGGGTGGATATACAACATAACAAGAGGTTAATATTTGGCACAGAGGATAACATGCATACAATGGGACAAAAAAATCATTAGATCACATATTTTATTAAAATATTCATTATTTAGAGATACTGACTGAACCTCTTTCTAGAAATGTAAATTTGCACATATTGTCATTTATCGGGCTGATTAACTTATCTGAAATTGTCTGCTACTGAATCACACAAAGTAGTTAGATATATTTGCACAATATTTGGTGATCTGGAATGAGAATTTAGGGATCTGGCAATAAGATACAGGCCATGTGGCCTGCACAGAATTCGCTGTGGAAGCTCTGGTTGGAACACTTCAGAGAAATAAATAGTCATCTGAAACAAGTTTGAGTGCTGATCAGGAGAGACACAACCATCTCATGAATTCAATGGAAGCCAAAACATTTTTCTTCAAATACAAACTTCAAATCAAAAGCCGGCTCAAATGACAAACCCAATGCCAGCAATTCAAGCTGCTTCTCACATGGATAATTCTCTGTATTATACTCCAAGATGAGTAGCAGAAGGGATTTTTCTTTTTTACATAACCATTGTTATTGAGTCTTTCAAGCAAAGCAACAGAGACAGGCTAGTCAAGAAAACCTGACAAACGTTATGTGTGTGGATGATGAATAGCGAATTCAGTATCCACATCACATTCAAAAGTTTTAGCACTATGCATCTTTTGTCATAATGATGAGATGTCCATACTCAGCTGAGGATTTCACTCTAAATCTAACCAAAATACTAATGCTCAATTACTTTAGGGAAAATAAATTATAACTAAAAACACCAGATGACTGTGAAGACAAAAAGATTTACAATTCAGGTTTAACAAAGAGTTTTAAATCCAGCCATGAGGAGATTTTCTCAGATTCAATTCACTACACTGCCATCTTACGCAGATGCTGAGTCCTCATTTCTTTGCTGCTAGAGGTTGACCACTTCATCGTCTTAAATAATCACTCAGTTTAAAACACTAGCCAACAGGCAAAGTAAGTACCAAATCTGTCAGCCTTAAAACTGTTTCACTAGTTACTAGCTCAATTAAAACTCTCTGCTCCCTTCCTAGCACAGATACCAATAAAATGTCGTTGCCCTAAAAATGGACTATGAGATACCCATTCTCCTGTCTCTTCCAAGAACTGGGAATTCATAAACAAAGAACACCTCCCAAATCAAAGCAGAGTAACTTCATAAGATTAAAGATGTCTCCAGTACTTTTAGAAGAAGGTAAATCTTAGTTAGATATGATAAATACTGAGTGTGTATCCTCAAGAACTTTCGCTATTCACATAAATTATGAGATGCATTTCCCAAAAAGCAGAGTGAAATTAATTAAGCCAGACACACAAGACTATTTAGAGTCATTAGGCCAAGAGGGGGCAAAGAAAAGTCATGCAGAAATTAAAGATCTTTCTTCTGTATCCCTCATTCTCGGCTGAGTGAGGCACCTGCCAAAACATGATCCTATTAGCTTCCTGGCTAACTTCTTGAGCCTTCCATCTGATCCCATTATTAATATACTAACAGCTGCAGGCTTTTGGTAAGCACATGCTCTTTAATGGAAATGCCACAGATTACAAGGCAGAGATCATGATCTCTTTTCTGCTGCATTTTGTGCTGTTATTGCTGTTTCTGTTTAAAAGTGTTCAGATTCTCATTATCTTCAAGGAATTAACTTGTGTGCACCCACATACCCATATACATGCACAGCCCACTGGCCAGAAAAAGGGTAAGAAAACTTCAGTAGATATAGAAACCATATTTTACCAACTATTCACCAAAAAAAAAGCCCTTTCCAAAAAAATGTAATACTTAATTGTTTTAAAAATTATTCTTTTATTTCAAAAGTGGTACACAGACTTCTGCTTCCAGGAAATGGAGTAGGCATACCTTTCCCTACTCCTTCCACCAAGTAGAACTAAAATTCTTGGACATTATGTGTTAAAACAAGGAGATTCTGAAAGGAGTAGAGAAGAGAATAGACAAGCCAAGGACCTCAAACCCCAAGGCAGGAAGTGGTGGTAATTCCAGAGATTCTCTTAATCCTCATGTATTCTAGACTTGGAAATGAAAAAACCAGCAATCCATAAACACCAATGGGCACAGAACCAAAAAGCTCCCCTAAAGCATGCTCTCTAGCGAAAGGACTGAGAAAAGGGCAGCTTAGGGGCACCTGGGTGGCTCAGTCAGTTAAGCAACCAGCTCTTGATTTCAGCTCAGGTCATGATCACAGGGTCGTTGAGATTGAGCCCTGCATAGGGCTCTGCACTCGGCGGGGCATCTGCTTGAGAGTCTCTCCCTCTGCCCCTCCCCCGCCCTCTCTCTCTCAAATAAATAAATCCTAAAAAGTGGGGTGGGACAGCACAGCAAGACAGAAAACTTTTAAACAGTAACTGCTTTACTCCAGCCAAGCATCACAGGAAGAAAAACAACAACCCTGGCTCCACCCACATCAGCAAAAGTTGAGCGAGAAGTCTAAACTTCCGCCTTGCCAGGCTATATAATTAGGCATTCCAACCTCCTCCTGGGATGTTGTCAGAGAAGACCATGCAGAGAGCTAGGAATCTTCATCTTTTCATCCGTGCAAGGCAGTTACAAATCCCCCTCCTCTTCAGTGTCAGGGCAGACCACATGGGGAATCCGGACATCTACCAACATATGGTAGTGGGGTCCCCTCCCCACCACCTCCCCGCTCGAGTGGTATCAGCAAAGGCCACGTGGAGAGTCAGGACTTCTCCCCCTGCCCATCGGTAATGAGGCCACCCTCAGCAAAGTGTTCCTGCAAGCCACAGGAGGAGCTTGAACTCCCATACCTGCCCAGCAGGTACGAGCAACCTCTTCCTTAGGTAGCAGTGGAGAGCAAGTGGGGAACCTGGACTTTTAGCTACCACCAGGCAGAAACAAGACAGCACCCCCCCCCACTCCCCTCTCCCACCACCAGTGGAATGGTGTCAAAGGAAATCAGCTAAAACAAAGTTTAAATAGGATCCCAAGTCTTACAATGTCACAAAATGTACAAGTTTCAGGCAAAAATCATTTATCATCGTAAGAACCAGAAAGATTTAAAAAAAACTGAGTGAAAAAACGCAATAAACAGATGCCAACACCAAGATGACAAAGATATTAGAGTTATAGGAAAAAATTTAAAGAAGCCATCACAAAAATGCTTCAACAAACAATTATGGACATGCTTGAGATAAATGAAAAAATGGAAAATCTCAAGGAAAAAAAACCATAAAGTCACAGAAGAAGAAACAGAAGACAAAAAAATCCAATGAACATTTTAGAACTGAAAAATATAAAAGCCAAAATAAAAAGCTCACTCAATGGGCTCAACAGTAAAACAGAAGGGACAGAGATGGGGAAAGTCGGTGGACTTTTAGACAGAATGATAGAAATTACCAAATCTGAACAGCAGAGTGCGGAAAAGACAGAAGAAATGAATGTGTAGAGCTGCAGGGGCCTGTGACACTATAACAAATGACCTAGCATTCAAGTCATCAGCCTCTCAGGAGGAGAAGACAAAAAGGGCCGGCTATACAAGTACTCAAAGAAAGAATGGCTGAAAACTCCCCAAATTTGGAAAGAAGCAAATCTACAAATTCAAGGAGCTGAATGAATCCCAAGCAGGATAAATAAATTAAAAAAAAATCCACACCAAGACACATCATAATTAAACTTCCAAAAACTAAAAGCAAAGAAAAAAATCTTGAAAGCAGCCAGGAAAAAAAAAAAGACAGCTATAGTTAAAAATGTGTATCACAGCAGATTTCTCATTAGAAGCCATAGAAACTAGGAGAAGAGGCACTACATTTTTCTAGTCCTGAAAGAAAAAAAGGATAAATCCAGAACCCCAAAGTCTGGCACACACATGGGGAAAGGAGATCACTCATGCATTGCTTGTGGCAATATGAAATGGTACAGCCACTCTGTAAAACAGTTTGGCAGTTTCTTAAACTAAACACTCAACTACCATACGACCCAGCAATTACTCTCTTAGGCATTTACCCCAGAGAAATAAAAATTTATGCTCACACAGTGTGTATATATGAATGTTTATAGCAGTTTTATTCATCATCCCTCAAACTAGAAACAACCCAGTTGTCATTCTTCAATGCATAAATGGTTAAACAAATTGTGGTACATCTGTACCATGGAAGACTACTCAGCCGTATAAGGAACAAAATACAGCTTCGTGCAACAATCTGGATGAATCTCCGGAGAACTAGGCTTTAGTGAAAAAAAGCCAATCCCAAAAGGTAGCCTACAGTAGGATTCCATTGATAACATTCCAGAGACGGCAAAATTACAGAAATGGGGGATAAGAGTTTAGTGGTTGTCAGGGGGTTGAGGAAGGGCTGGGAGTGGGAGGAAGTGGGTGTGGCCATAAAAGGGGACGATGGAAATGTTCTGTATCCCAACTGCATCGTGTCAGTATCTGTTTGTAATATTATAGTATCATTTTGCAAAATGTTACCATTGGTGAAAACTAGGGAAAGGGTACACAGGGTCTCTCTACCTTTTAAAAGCATGTGAATCAATAGCTCTCTCAAAAAGTTTAATTTTTTAAAGAAGAAAAAAAGTGGTACATACTCAGAAAATTTCAAAATCCAGATTAGGAAGATCTAATTTGGTTATTATAGTTATATTCTAATAGACACAGTATTCATTTATTTGGGGGTTTTTCAACTGTATTGATCACTTTTAATCAAAACAAGAAATATATAGTTCATTAAATTTTCCCCTATACCCTTGTCTCAGGGCCACATGGAAGCTTTAAAAAATTACACAGGGCTCTGTGTAATCCCTCTGGGCCAATTGTCAATCATGGTGGAATTGATTTCTTTTTGAGTACCCACTTGGAACAATTCGTTTTAATGGTTATGTCTGGTACTGTGTGCACAGAAATTTGATGTCATCCGTGCATCCAGATAAGAATATGGTGACTCATTAGCGATGTCCATCATGGCATGGGTCACAGAAGTGGTAATATATGTGCCACAGATTTATCCTCTCTGTTGGCTGGAAGTAGTTT